TGAGTGCTAGAGAAGATGCAAACAAGGAAATGCCATACAGTGCTACTGAAAATGTGACCTAGTTCAGCCATTTTGAAAATGAGGACCAAAATTTCTCAGATGAAAATAGGTCTAACATATGACCCAGCTCTCCCACTTGTGGGTACTTGCCTCAAAAACTGTGCACATCTCAGAGATGCCTAGATATTGATGGTTAGAGTAGTGCTATTCACTGTTTACCTCCAGGGCTGAAAAGCAGCATGTCGCATGCCTATTGGTGGATTTGGTAGCACTGTTCACAATAGTGAGTTTATGTTATGAACCTAGGTGTCTGTCAATAGAGGAAGAATAAATTTGGAGCTGGAGAGATGACTCTGGGATTAAGAGCAGTGACTGCTCTTTCAAATGACCCAGGTGTGATTTCCAACACCCACATGGTGACTCAAAACTGCCTGTAGTTCCTGTTCTAGAGGATTCACCCTCTTCTTGGTCTCCTCAGACATCAGGCACACCACATGGTGCACAGAATCCATGCAGACTAATCAACTGTATACATAAAAAATAAATGAATTAAAAAAACAAATAAGACTTGAACAATGACTATCAATAGAATTGCTAATGCAAAGGGGTAAAGAATCTCACTCTCACAGACCCCACCACCACACAAGGAACTGTAGGCTACTAATGAATGCTGATAGTGGGGGGACCAACCAGCATCTCCCAGGATTGGCCCCTGATTGGTTATCCAATGCAAAGTGGTCAGCCCTGAAACCTCATGCACACAAACAAAAATGGACACAAGATGATGTTTGAGAGTGGGCTGGGCATGGAAGGCACTGGCGTCAGGAAAGGAATGGGGAAATGGGGTAATTATAGTTTAATTAAGATGTAAAAATTAATTAATAAATTAATGTTTTTAAAAATGAAAAAGAAAACAGGCTATGGGGAGCAAGCTAGTAAGCAGCATTCCTCCATGGCCTGTGTTTTACAAAAAACAAAACAAACAAACAAAAAATAAAAACCAGAAGAACAAAGTAATGTCATTTTTAGGAAAATGGAAAATCAATACAACTGAAGATAATTTTATCAAGCTTTGGTCCTGGCCAAAGTCCTTATACACTTTCTAGAAAATGCCTTTTGTATGCAGTGATTATTAGGAAAGTATTGTTAAATAAAATTCTGTTTGCTGGTTATAAAGTAAACATGAACTCCAAGCATGGGAATAATTCTGAAAGTTCATAACCTGCACTTGTTTAACCTGTTCGTTTTCCAAGACTGTCACTCTCTACTACATCTTTCATATTATCCATTTGAAATTCAGTCTGACTGTCCAGGTTTAGCTCAGTTATTAAGACTCCCATAAGACCTTTCCCGTTTGTCATAGTAAGACACTCACGGGTTTCAAAATAATGAGGAAGCCCTTGTAGTGTCCCAGGAGAAGACCTGATTTACATAGTTAGTTTCATCAACATTAAGGAAGACACTCCACATGGGAAAGAGGAGCCTGCATGGGACCCAAAGCTGGCCACAGGCAGTAAGAATACATAACAGTCTTTTGGTATGTGTGTAGGCTCTCTGGTCCTCTGCCCTTGGTTCATTTGATTTGCTAAGCATTGCTTAGAAGCTCTGCGTGCTGGCCCTGTGTCAGAGCTCTTGCTTCCTGTTGCCTAGTCAACTGTGCTGCCTTCATGCCCTGATGCCTTGAAGCCTGTCAACATTCCTCTGGCCTTACCTATTTAAAGCACTGAAGATTTTGTCTAAAAGATAGGCATGAAGGTCATGTGTGCTTTTGCTGATGTATAGCGGAAGTCCCGCTAGAGGCAAGGATACCCTCTGCTTGAGTTCCTCGCCTTGCATTCTGAAAAGCCTCTCCAAGGAACAGTTTGTACATTTCTGTTCATGTAAAGGGGGAGCTTTTGGGCACCTTTTCTCTGTTGCTGGTTTGTAGAGCTATTTTTAACTTTTGTTCTTTGCTGTATTTTTTTCTGTGCCTGTGAATCGTAAGGTGCCAGACTGGCTGCCCTTGAGCCTGGTGTCCCTAATTTATCCCAAGAACAGGAAAAATACAGGGGGTAACAGAACTGGTCATGTCTGGGTCCAGCACATTAGCCTGACCTACTCTGGAAGAATATTCCCCAGACATAAAGAGGGAATTGTTTCTGGGAATGCAGGCCATCTGCTTTTGTGGCGAGCAGACAAAACCTTGTGCCATCACCAGGCAATACAGTGTTTTGCATCCAGTAAGCAACAGACATTCATCCTTTCTTTGAAAAAAAAAAAAAAAAAAAAAAAAAAAAAACCTGCAGTGTTTTTCTGCCTTCCACCTCTACCTGTCAACATTCCGTTCTCTAAGGTCAAATTCAATTGCCTATTTCCTCAGGAAATTCTTACAGAGCATTCTGGGATGTGATTTTCCCTTGCATATTTTAATATCACTTTTTCTTCCAGCGTGAAGCACATGTTGTCATGGCCTGTTGGACTTAGGACATTTCATAATCACTGTAGGAAGCACTAATGATGACTAGTCTACTTCTTTGTGTCACACAAAAGTAGACTGTAATACTGGACAAAGACCAGACCCTTGGAGTGTCTGCTAAGTAGATTGAAAACCAAAACTTTCTTTCTGGAGCAGGCTTTTCCTGTAAGCTGGTGATTAAAGTTGTTCCAGACCCAGGGTAGCTGTCCAGCTCTGCAGATACCTTATAGGCTCGGGCTCTTTTTTCTGTTTTTGAGCATTCACAGTCAAGACCCATACAGCTACTTCTGCTGCCCAGCCAGCCACCATAGCCATTACATGATCCCATCCTTATTTTGGCAAAGTATGTTTCTTAGATCCTATGTATATCTCAGCAACCTATTTGACTTATAGAAAGGGAAAAGTTAATATAGAAAAATAAGTGCATTGACTTATTTATATTATAAAATTATAATTCTCATGGAAAATCAGTGGGTTCTTAATAATTTCACATGGATTGATCTATTTGCCCCACCCTCAGTATGTTTCCTGCAATGAAATGTCATTTGTTGGCATGAAATTCTTTGAGGTATAGCATCAATTTTCAAACAGAACATACTTAGTTTTGTAGTAAACCAGTAAAGTTTGGAGAAGGAGTACTGTTGTTTTCAGCATAATCACAAAAGCGGTGCCAAATGAAAAATTAATTTTCTTACTATAAGTAGAAAAAGCACATGAGTTTAAGGAATCATTTCCAATTCGTTGTCTAATGCTAAAATATAAGTGTAAGGTAACTCTTGGATAGAAGCTTATTAAAAAACAACTACAAACCGTATTACAAATATCATAATTGTAATATAAAAGCTACAACACTGAAATTTCACAATTATATACCTGTAGCAGAGGCAGTCCATTTTTTTAAGACTTGACTCTTCTCAATGTTTGATTGATAATACTTCAAGTTTGTTTGTTTATTTTTTTTAAAGATGTGCTCTAATCCTGCAACAGAATACAAAGGAATACTTCCAGGACCAAATGCAACCAGAGAGAAATATATTTACCTCTTCTTACTGAAACATTTACCCCTCCCAGTTTTGAGTGTGAAGTGGCTGTCAGTCCAATGTGATGGGGTGCTGAAAGCCGCCTTCAGTGCAAAGTCACTCCGTAATGCTCCATAACACCAATTATGCACTGATGTTCATACAGAGCTCAGAACAGACAATGCAGCCGTGGAGCTGGAGTAGACACTACTCAAGCAAGGCTGCCTGGGCATGAAGTTAGTTAGACATTTTCTGAACTTTCCCAATCTTTAGAGTAAGAATATTAGTGTGTCCACATAGAGCGTCATGAATAGGAAATGAGTTGATACAATAGCTCCAAGAAAATGTCAGCCATGATTTTTGTGCAAAAGCCTGCAGGTGCTTGTCGATATTCCCAGTTGTCTATGGCTACCTAGTTGGGTCTTGTTTCTGCCTAGTAGACATTAACTTAAAGGAGCGGGGGTGACTGTGGCCCTCAAAATCCTAGGGTATTGAGATACAGAGCCTCACCCAAAGTAATCCCAACCTACCCCCTTCTTTATTTATTTCTGTCCCTTCTGGTTCTTTTGTTTGAACTTGTGGTCCTAGTGGATATTAAGCAAATTCTGTGTCACTGAACTATACCTAGTCCTAAAAATTTTATCCTAAATTATATTCTATAACCGTTTAAACACTAATTGTGTGCTTTAAAATATAACCTGATGGACATATGTGTGTGCCAGCTGTCTCAGTCAGTTTCAGAATGCTGTGGCTTTATAGAACACTGGGCAGACAATGAAATCTAGGGCCTCAAGGAACTCCCAACCCTATATTAAGTGGAACCATTAAGTGATGTTCAAACTAAGACCAAGAGATGACTCTGACTGAACTCTAGTATCTTAGATGAGACATGAGGGCATGAGATGAGACTTACTCCATGAGCCCCAGAAGCCATGAGCCCCTAGAATCATGGGGAGCAGTCAGCATGGGGCTGCATTGGTGACTCCACAGAAGAAACCCTAGCAGTCTCAGTGCTCTAGAGATAGAGGTAAGTACCTACCATGTGATCTGCCCATCACTGAGGGCCAGCTACAGAGGATTGACAACCAGGTCTTGAAAAATGGAATGAAGCGCACACAAACTGATGGGCAGACTCTCCAGGGACAAAGGCTTGCCAGAAAATGTTCTGTTTAGTAGATTGCCCTTTAATCCTCACCTTCCTGACTCCCACACCTGTATGTATGTGATTAGAGACAGTGCCAGACCTAGCATCAAGCATGAGTTTTCCTCCATCACTCTCTCAGGAGCCTTAGCTATCTGCTCAGTTGACTCAGATAGACTCCTGCTATGGACAGAGGAGACCATGGTAGGCTTACAAAATAGTGTAATATGGCACTGGAAACCATGGTGGGCTTGCTAGTTAACGTAGTAATGGCAATAGTGCTGTGTCTCTAGCTGTTACAGAATGAACCTGCTATCTCCCTAATCTTGACTTCTTTGGGAGGTTCTCGGAGTTCCTGTGTAACAAGCAACCCCTTATCTTCCAGGCCGCTGTGCTCGCTGTGGGGAAAACGTAGTTGGGGAAGGAACAGGATGCACCGCCATGGATCAGGTCTTCCATGTGAATTGCTTCACCTGCATCGTCTGTAACAACAAACTCCGAGGACAACCTTTCTATGCCGTGGAGAAGAAGGCGTACTGTGAGCCCTGCTACATTGTAAGTCTCCACACTGGGTCTTCATCGCTCTGTCTCTGACCAAATACCAGTCACTCCATATTAATGTCACCATCAGTTCTTTGAACTTCAAAAGATGTGTACATACATACGTAAATTGTTATACTAGTTGGTTTTATTTTTCTATATAGTTAGCATTGGATGAGGTCAGCAAATTGTGTTTGGAGAGGGCTGCCTTTCAATTAGAGGTCTGCCAGAAATGTTGTCTGGCCTGTGGTTTTCAGTGTATATGTAGAAACAATATGTTCTCTGTGATATATACAGAGGAAAGCTTCCTCATTAGCAGAGTGCTAACCCTCTTACTCAGTTGCATCCTGCATTTGAAGTCCCAGTACATTGGGGAAGACTTAGCAGGATGAATTTGTCAGTGGTCTTCCAGACTTCTGTACTAATTATCTCTGCTGAATCATTTTTACCTTTCCAATCCCCCAGGTTGTCTGTGATATAGAGAAACACTTTGTTATAAAGTACCTTGAGGTAGTAATGGTTTTCTGTTTTAAAAGAACAAAGTGATTTTTGAAGAGCATAGCTTAGTGACTGAAAATAAGTGACATTCTCTCAGCATTTTACATGGCTATTTAATCTGCTTACCTACCTTCTGATAGAGTAGGTTGAGGAATAAGAAAACTATTTCCCATCCAAAGTAAATTCCTTTGTTTTCTTTCTGGTTGTCATCTATCTTCAGAACATATTCGTGAAAAAAAAAAGTAGTACCTTTTTCAAACCTATGAAATAGTCATGGTTGTCTCCTCTGCCAGGGCATTCCAACAGCAAAGAAACCTTGGGAATAAGGTAGTGAAACTCAGAAACTTGCAACACTCTGGAATCAAAGTTATTGGCATTTCTGCCTCAGCTGGTGTCTTAATTAGGGTTATTATTGCTGTGGTGACACTAAAAACAACTTGGGGAGGAAAGGGTTTATTTCAGCTTTTACTTCCAGGTAACAATCCATCACTGAGAGGAGTCAGGGCAGGAACTCAAGCAGGGTAGGAACATAGAAGCAGAAGCTGCAGCAGAGGTCATGCTGCTTACTGCTTGCTCCATGTGACTCACTCAGCCTGCTTAAAAACCAGGACCACCAGGCCCAGGATCGCCCCACCCACAATGGACTGGGCCCTCCCCCATCAATCACTAAATAAGAAAATGCCCTACGGGCTTGCCTACAGCCCAGGCTTATGGAGATATTTTCTTAATTGAGGTCACCTCCTCTTCAGTGACTCTAGCTTGTATCAAGTTGACATAAAACTAGCCAGCACAGTTGGTAACATATCCTGGGAAATTGAGCTTATTGAAACACAAGGGTGTATAGCCCAGAGCTCAGTTTTCCACAACTGAGTTTTTTATATATTCATATAGTACTGCATTGTGTCTCTTAGGTTCCATTTTGTTTTCCTTCCAGGAGTATCATTGTAATGTCATCAGCTAATAGAACTGGCAGAAAAAGGGGGGGTGGGGAGAAAAGAAAAGAAACCATTTTAAGGTCCCTTGCCTAGCTGCTTTCTTTAGAAGTGAGACAAGAGATGGAGGAGAAAGGTGGCTTCTACTTACCATTGGACACAGAGCCAGGCCAGCATTAGTTACATGTCCCCCTGGTCCTGTGATTTGGGCAGTACTGACTGCATTTAGTTATTCAGACTGTAGATACCCTGTTGTTCTGGAAGCAGCAGCATCCACATAAGATAACATCTAGTCTGTAAAATTCATCTCTTAGGTTGTTCAGCTCAAGTACCACCCTTTGAAATCTTTGTTGAAAAGAGGAAGGCCTCTTATAAGTCTGACCTATTTTAAGTGGGCTGCACTTTCTAATGACTCGGGACACCATTGTGAAATTGTTTTTATTGCTGCAAGTTTTGGAAACCACATCAGCAAGCCCTGTAGAGTCATCTAGCACTCTTCTTACATGGAGCGGTTATTTTTTATAGCTCCTGTTTAGTCCCTTTTTGACTGTGTCTCTGACTGTTGCTATTGCAACAATGCTTTTGTGGAAAACTTCTTCAGCTGTTTATTTTTATGCTTTCTAAGCAACAGTCTTAACGTACAATCCTTTGAATCCATGTAACAGTATGCAGAGAATATGAGCTTGAATTGGATTCAGTCAAAGCTTGGGCAAGTTAACTTCATCTTTCTAAGCCTCGGTTTTCTCATCTATATATAATGGGAATCATGGCACTATTTTCCCATAAGACTCCTGAAGATGGAATGAGGCAATCTTTGTAAGCACCATTGGTCTACTCAGGAAAAGCTATTGAACAAACATTATATTTGAGCTTAATTATGATTAGATTTCGGGACCTGCTTGCCATTCCTGATGTGTTCAGTGAGACTCAGACTCACTTGGCTCTAGGAAGCTGTTTTGCTTCTTGGATATACCCATCTTCCTTTTCTTTCCCCCTTGATCTTTGCTTTCCTGGGTGAGTAACAAGGCTTCAGTTGCATGTTTTTATGTTTTCTGTAGTATGTCGACTCAGAATGCAGACTCTTGCAAGGATACAATATCTGAGATGATTTAGGATGCTGGAACTCTGCTCAGATTTGTTTTGCTGTGGTATTGTAGTATTTTGCTTGTTTTCTGTTTTTTAACTCAATATGAATATGTGTACAGTGTGCCTCTGTGGTGATCTTCACTTTTAGCCTCTAACCTGTTTAGGTTTACATTATGTTTATGAATTACATTTTAAAGCCAAATATATTTCCCAGTCTTTTGTCATTGCAATATGCTTAAAGAACACTGAGTGAAATATTTATATCATTCAAGTTACTTAGGATATTTTTTATAATTTAGATTATCAACTCAAATGTGATGTAATACTGAGGGCATTGGCTTTATCTTCCTACAGTCCTTGGTTTTGACCTAAACTTACGACCTAGGTCATAGAGCTGCAGTGCCTCAGTTTTGTAGTCACCACACCTATCACCTTGAAGTATTTCTTTAGAAAACTGTTTCTGGTGGACAAGACCATTACAAACAGTGAGTTCATATATTAAACCATATGCTATTTCCTCTTAGATAGATTTATTTAGATTCATTAGAGTCAATGTAACAAGTACACTACGTCCTAGTTATTTTAATTGATGCTTGTATTGTCAGCAGTAAAGTCAATAGATCTTGTAAATGATTAGTTTTGATAATTCTTATAGTTTGAATAAATAAACAGATTAAAATTAAGAACACTAAACGTTATAAGGAAATAAAATGATTTAAATAGAGTCTATCTATCTTAGTCCTAGCTCTCTGATTATATCATCGGGTATATCCATTTATCTTCCTATTACCAGAGTGCTCTTTTTTGTGAAGTTAGATATTAATTCCTTAATGTCCTAGATAAGAAATGAGCGAGTATGTTACTTTTTTGTATCATGAAACTATTGACTGTAAAAGGGATAGATCAGATGAGTGACCATATAATTGTAATATGACAGAGAAACTGTAGCACACAATGGGACATATCTTAGCTGTTGTTGCTATGGAAATGTTGAAAGTAATTGGCTTCATAGGAGGAACACAAGGGCACATGAAGAGATCGGTGCTTTGCTTACAGCCATTTGTGTCTTTAGGTATGAAGGACATCAACAAGGCCTCCTGCTTGTTTGACCTTCTGCTCTTCCTGAAACCAGCTTACTCCTGAGCATAAGTGTAACAAATGAACAGTTGCTTTCTTCTTAACATTGCACAGGAGTCTGGGCCTAGGGACAAATACAGCAGAAATTCTTAGCCAAAGTCTGTTTATGAAATGGTGATCCTGGATCCTCCACTGGCTCAAGGCTTTTGGGCAGGATGGCTGGAAAGGTGAGACAGGCATTTTTATTAGAGTTGAAATCCTAGTGGCCAGCAAGACCTCTGGAAGTAGCAAGCCAGTCCTTGGCTACCAACTTGAGACTAACTTGAAGGCACATTCATGACCTCCACATCAACAGCCTCTTGCTCTCTTATGCCACTAAATGCCTAAGTAAAGCCATGTAAATTTTCAGCTCCCTTCAGAGGTAGCTTTTGCACCTCTGTAGGAAAGCTTGTTTTTTTATGTACTCAAGTTCCTCTTAATGGAATGTTTTAAAAAGCAGTTAGAACCAAGGCCGTATGTGGGCGTTGGAAAAGGAACCAAAGAGTTGGGACGGAATCTGAAAAATGCACATGAACATCCCTCTTCCCTAATCGCCCACCTCTGCTCTCATCACCATGATGCATCTCCCTCTGCCTCCCTTCGTCTCTGACTGCACATACCACCTACACACTTAAACACATTCATTCCTGGTGTCTTATTGTCACCCCACTGGCACTATCCAATAATAAGAAAAATGGTTCAAGAATAAAAAATGTTTTTAAAACACTCTCCTGTGAAGTTTGACCACACACACCCTAGGTGTTATATCCCCCTTTCTGAGCTTCTATTATGGGGTGTCATGCCTGTTGGCGCTTTGAAAGCAAGGGAAGATTATTAGACCCTATTAGAAATGAGGTTTTTGATGTGGCTGAGGTAAAAGACAAAGTGAAGATGAGAAAGCGCTCTGACCTGGTTTTTATTTGCAAGGTCCATGCCACTACCCTGAAAACGAACATTCACCTTCCTGAAAACACAGGAGTCCGGCCAGCCATTGGCTACCCACTTTAAAGTCATGAAAGCCTTCTGTTCTCAAGATTTTAATTGATAACCACTGGCCCAAGTTGTGACATCCAGAATCACAGATCACAGGGAAAAAGCTATGATCCCCGGTCTTTCCTTGAGTGTTCACAAGTCTCTTTCCTCATAGTGCCTGGAATCTCAATATAAAAAATGCTTTTATGCTTAGAGTTAAATTTAGTCAGTGACAAATAGCATCTGCCCAACAGTATACTTTTGCTTTTTAGTATTTTTATTTTGTCTATTATCCTCAACTGAGCCTTGGAGATAGCTCTAGTTGTTTTACTGTCATTTCCAGTAGCAAGAAACTGGGGCTCAAAAGCTCATATAAACTCACAGAGACTGAAGCAGCATGCACAGGACATG